TGTTTACAAAAGGTAAGCTGAAACTTGCAGGAGATCACGGATGTGCAGGAAGGCTGAAAGCTGGCAAGACACACAAAGGAAACAGAGGCACAAAAACACTGGGATGCGCAGAGGACACAATAGGTGTAAGGATACAAGTTACAAGCAAGAACACACAAAGCCACTGGGGATAGGCAGGAAGACACTGGAGGTATGGAGATCACACTGGAAGGCACTGGGAGAAGCTTGCAAACCATCACTATGAACAACGGGGGTCTGGTACAGGAACACTAGGTATCCTGGGGTCACAAGGTCGTTTTCAGAAAGTAGGATGCCAGGAGTCATCAGGTCACTAGTAATCTTCTTCACTAATAAACACTGGGGAACACTAGGTATCATCCCAGGAAGCCAGGGTCACTAGTAATCTCCTTCACTAGGCAATATGGGAAGCACTAGGAATCTTCTTGGAAAGTCACTGAGGGATCTGGCACTAGGAACACTAGCTGCTGCTCAGTTAATGATGGAGGTCTGGCTGCTCCTGATGGCATCAGAGTGATGAAACACATTGAGCGCAGGCTTATTATGACACTTCTGCTTTCGTATTTCTGGTCGGTGGAATGCAGGTGGTTCCAGGAAGAAATACATATGTGCTGAAGCTTGTACATACACAAGCATTGTAATGGAGTAAGTGGATTTTAATTGATTTTTACTGCCTCCCAGTTTTTTTCCCCCTATATGTATGGAAACCTGAATGGGGTTTTAACTATTTCCTACTCTATCCATATTTAAACATGTGTGAAAACTAGTTTTTATTAAAAGAAATTTCAACAAAGATCCAAAAATTGAAAAACAATGAGGTTCCCCCACAGAAGATTGCCAAACAATGGATGATCAGTCTCCTGGCTTACACAAGCAGCACTGTTGCTCTGGCCATATACTTTAGTACCTTTTGTCTATGTCTTCCAGACAATCTTCCCACAAACTCTATGCACACAATTTGCAGCCCCTTGCTGCTCTGGCTCCCACCTGTCTCCAAGGTGCAGCCCTCCTGACTCCTACACAGAGACCTCCATTTTCTGCTGGAGTGGAGCCCAGAACTAAAGTCAGGTCTCCTCTATAAGACCAGCACCCACCTGCCCAGTCAGTGTGCTGGTATTTCCACCCAAGTCTCTACAAAATTTCCAAACTCCAGAAGGTCCCAAAACAGGTCTTACCAAAACTGAAAAACCAGTTGCCTCTGAAGGACACAAGCACTCCAGAGCCCCTCAACCTGCCTGGATGAGAAACCTGCGTGATAGAAAACAATTTTCACATGGTGGCAGGGCACAGCACTTTCACCCATGTTTGAGTTTAAAGTCCCCCTCTAACATAGTTTATCACTTATGTATCTTGTCACAAGATTGGTTATTTTTCCACTTTAACAGCCAGGCTGTTCTGAATAAGTTTCAGGTACAGGGGTTCAATCAACCCACTTAATCATAGTGGTCAGCTTTTATCAATTTGCTTCAAATCCTTTTCCCAAAAGAAAGAAACTGTTGCTGTAACTGCTTAAAAAGTGTTTTCTGGAGTTTGGAGGGTCTATAATTTGTTTGTTGCCTACTTAAACTGGTATTAAACCATAGTTCCCAGCTTTCCCTGATATTGAGGGACTGTCCCTCTTTTGGAACCAAATCCCTCTGTTCCTGTTTACTCCTCATTTTTATCTCTTTTTGCTCTAATAATGCATAGACTTCTTTAAAGAAATGCACTATTTAGCGCCAGATGTGTTGTACTGCAGTAAACCATATATCCAACCGCTAAATCATTGAATTTGTTTTTCTGAAATGGCAGTATGATAAAAAGTAGGGGTTAAAAAATTATTGTAGGTTTAGCCAGTAATTTTGTAATTCATTTTTTAATGGTACACGTAACAGCGCATCGCAGGGGGTGTCCTTCATTTACAGACCTTTTTCTAACATGTCCCTCTTTCCCATCTCAAAATATTGGGAGGTATGATTAGACCCAAAACCAAAAATTTTATATATTGCAGCTTACTAACCCTTCGATGTGGTGGCTTTTCTTTTTTTTTTTTTAGTTGTTTTCACTTAGTGATTCAGCCAGTAACACACCTCCTGCTAAGAGTGCCTACACTCTGGATGAAGGAGCACAGAAACACCTTTGGACAGCAACATTGTTAAAGTGGTTCTAAAGTCTAAACTTTTTTTTACCTTAATGCATTCCCTGCATTAAGGTAAAAAATGTCCCACTAGATTTGGTGCCCCCCCCCCCCTTTTTCTAAACATTTACCTGACTCCTCTACTGATCCAGTACTGTCTGCAGCAACGCTGCTCTCTTTTCCTCACCTTACAGGACATACTGAGAGTAGCAGGAGCCATAGGTCATGCTGTCAGTCAAATCCTGGAAGAAAAAAGGAGGGGGCATGGTAAAGCTGTGTGTGTCTATAGACTTGCACAGCCCAGCTCAGGAGCGTGCCAGGATGGGTGCCCCTCAGCAAGCCGAGTCAATATCTAATCAAATCAAAAACCTGAACTAACATTGATGAGATGATGGGTAACATCTTCTTACCAGAGTTACTGAGCTTTAGCAGTTCTATATTGAGAAGTGGTGTGAAGAAGGGTGACCTGCTGCTAGCATTTAGTATTTATTATATTAAAAGGTAATAGCAATAGCTGTTTCACAACAATGACTGCACATTTCATTACTTTCCATGGCAAAGTCTTTGGAGTAAGGGAAAACGTGTTGGCGTCCACCAATGACTGGAGCTAATACTTGTTGGATACACTAATCAGTGGTGGCATTATACAAGCACATGAAAATTATGAATTAAGAATACAAAGGTGTATGAAGGATGGGTGGGTGACTGCATAACAAGGTAGAGAGGAAATGTTGCGGAAAATGAGAGTGGATGCAAGCAAGTAAAATGTATACCAACTCATGCTCCTGCAGTGACAGGATTGTTGTCCGTTGTCAGTGATGCAGTAGGCAGTTTCTCTTCTGTCCTAAGGGGGTCTCTCTTCTGCCTTCCACTGTCATACACTGGTAAGGAATCTCTCTGTCCTCCACTATCATGTGCTGCATGGAGGTGCTGTCTAACATAGCAGTACCCAAGATTATAATACATTACAAGCTGTGGCCTGATTGCAAATAATTTTGAAATTATATCAACAACCTTGGTGACACAACAACTTTACTACCCAGTTGTTGTGGACTGTGAATTGCATTCGATTTCATCTCAATGTTGCTTATCATATGCAGCCTCTTTGCAGCCACTTTCTGTCAACATGTATACATTCCAGTGATGGCTGCGTGGTGTGTATAAAGTCATTATTGGTATAGGAGTTGACGGGTGCTTACAATGGTCAGCTTTTATTCATTAATGCAAAACCTTTATCTCAAAACGAAAAAAAAAAAAAACTGTTGCTGAAATTGCCCTGTAAGTGTTAACTGCACTACCCTCTCCCCAGATTGACAATGCTACTGTCCAAAGTGTCTTGGTTGCTCATCCATCCAGAGTGGAGAAACCCTAGACAGAAATGTATTACTGGCTGGATCACAATGTGAAAATAACCAGGAAACCCCCCCCCTCAAAAAAATAAATTGAATACGGCCACCGTATTTAAAGGAGAAGTACAGCCAAAGCAGTGGGTCACAGGAGTGCAGTTCGTTCTGCACTCCTGTGACCCATTTTCAGCTAACAATGGGCTGAAGCCCGCTGTCGGCTGACGTCACTGAGCCAGTCCAGGCTGGGGAAAGATCCCGACTTCAAAGTCAGGATCCACTCTAGACTCCAAAGCAGCACCTGGCTCAGCCTCTCAGCGATCCACCGAGAGCCTGAGCCAGCCAATCCCTCCCCCTCCACACAGCCCAGCGCTTCAGTGAGTGCTGGGGGGGGGGGGGGGGGGGGGGACAGAAAGGACAGTGGTGACTGACAGTCCCACTCTCTGCTTAGAGCGGATGTGAGAACTCAGCAATCAGCGTTCGGAGTTTTCACCCTTAGAGCCGGCAAGGGACAGATGTAGCATTGGAGCAATGCTGCATCCACCTATGTATGATTATGGAAAAAAAAAAAAAACAAATCCCACACTTCTCTTTTAAGGATTGGTAAAGTGCAATATATTACATTTTTGTTTTTGGGTTTAATACTGCTTTAATGAGCTCTAGAGACAGAGGCGAAGCTGTCAGACTAAAGATATAGCGCAGCACTTTTTGGTGTCTGCTGTAAAATGTGTGGCTTAGATGTTGTATCATGACTGTACAGGTATACATTGAACTACAGTAAATGGTAAATGATGCCACAATTGTATGGCAACATGTAAATGCATTTAGGGATATGTGCTTTATATACTTTGAACTTGGTTTAACTGCTGTTGTACTATAATTATTTGCAGTATGAAAAATTAACTAACCTTGGCTCCGTTCACATCTAAGTGTTTTGTATCGTGGGCAGAATCATGGCAGAATTGCTCCCACGTTTAGGTGCCATTGAAAATAAATAGCATCTGAACAAGCGTGGTGTGATTTCTCAGTTTTGCAGATTGTTTTGGGATTGTGGCAGAATTGCAGCAATTGTGGCTGTGACACAAAATGCCTTGATGTGAACGAAGCCTTGAGTACTAGAGCGTACAATGCTTAATCATATATAATAATTACTTTATACCATGTAAGGTCAAGTCAAAGCTAAGGCTTTAAAAAGTGCATCTGGCAGGTATTTCGGACCCCTGCCAAGAGCCCACCAACTGCCAACTCCAACTGTGGCTTGGTACACAATTACTCACTTTTAGGGAATCGTGCTGCTTTCCTCTAACTGACTGGACATTAACTTACATTGCTTGTAATGATGGGAGAGTATTCCTAGCATAGGTAGAGCATGGTTCAAGCATGGGCTCTGGATGCAGAAGTAAACACAGATAGACATAAGTGAATACAAAGTTTTATGATATGAGTATTTGCTTACAAGCTTGAAATGTTACTAACTTATTTGATTTATATTTTCAGAACTCAATGATCCAAGCAAAATAAACATGAAAGACGAGACTGAAGGAAACCATCTAGATGAACAGTCACAACATGCTCATATACAACTTGAAAGAAAGGTCGATAAGGGTGTGAATATTGGGAAAATTGTGAAAGCAAAACTACGAAAGAAATGTACCTGTTCTGCCAAAAGGGCCAAGAAGACATTTACAGGTTTTCTCCCTGTTATTCGATGGCTTCCAAAATACAACTTCAAAGAAAACACATGGGGAGATGTGATGTCAGGGCTTATAATTGGCATTATCTTAGTACCCCAAGCCATAGCATATTCCCTGTTAGCAGGTCTGAAACCAATATACAGCTTATACACATCATTCTTTGCCAATATAATATACTTCCTAATGGGGACTTCTAGACATGTGTCTGTGGGCATTTTTAGCTTGATTAGCCTAATGATTGGCCAAGTTGTGGATCGAGAAGTGCTGCTGGCAGGTTTTGACCTGGATGATGATGCTGTCTATAAAATGGAAGGCATAAACGGTAGTGACATCATGAACGTAACATCAGTCAACATTAGTCTGGGCATATTGAACATTGAATGCGGAAAAGAGTGCTACGCTATTAGTGTGGCAGCTGTACTAACTTTCATGGCGGGGATCTATCAGGTAAGGTTCTACATTAAACCTAAAATTAAACTTTATGCAAATAGGTACAGTAGTAAAACATTAAATTGGTATGCTTTCAAACCACAACATGTCATTTACATTTTGGTTCCAGATAAAAATCTACAGCTGCTTCTAATATGTAGAAAGCAAAGGTTAACGTTCTCATGCATAGAAGGAAAAGATCTCATGCCTGGGAATGCCTGCACATACCGCTGGTTACCTGCTGTCAGGGGTAAATGGGCATTTGTACAAGTTAGAATACCTGTTCAAACTAATATATCCTCTCTGATAACCAAGCGCTGAAAGCTTCATCTCTACTTCTTGCCCTTCTCTCTCTATTAAAATAAATGTCTATATTTGGCAAAGCCAAGTGTGCAAAGTTATAGAACCCTAAATGTGACTCTGAGGATATCTGAACTTGAAAGCAGTCATATCATGGCTCCGAAGAATATGCAGTATCATGAAGATCAGTTTAGAACTGAGAACTTTGGCGAAAATAAGTATGTGGGGGGTGTAACTACGTAGCGCAGGGACCTAGATATGAGCCCTTCTTTCACCTGCTTGGCACCTTGCCTTTCCATCGAAATTGTAATTCTACTTGATATTTTGCACCCCTAATCTTAGGCCCCTTTAAACACAGGTAACAAGTGATCTACATTTTATCTACTGGATGTCTCCGGTAGCCAATGCATCCCACCTATACCACTTTTAAACCAACAGTCAGAGGACAGCTCACTCAAAGTTCCCTCTACATTAGTGGCTTGTGAAATAGACAGGACACATTAACAAAGCCCCTTATCATTCATAGTCAGGCAGGCACAGTAAATGCCTCTGTTACAAAGACCCTCTTACATTGGTAAGACCCTCCTCCCTCCCATAGGTGGTCAGTAAAGTGTCTCTCTACACTGGTGGTCAATTAAGTACTCCTCCCATTGATGGTTTGTCGGGAAAGGGTTCCTCAAATTTGTTGAGCACTCTTCACATCAGTGAGTAGAGTGATACAAGCCAGTAGAGAAGGTCCCCATTACATTTGTGGTCACTAAAGGGTCACCTTACACTAGGGGTCAGTAAACTGCCACCTTACATTGTTAGTCAATTTTCAGCTCCAGGGATGAAACAATTATTGGAGTGGTTTTACTGTTACCTGGGAATTCATGAATCAATTTGGCACACAGGAGTAGATAAATGAGCCAAGACAGTACCGTAGGCATTTGGGCTCCACTGAGTACCATTGGTGTCCAACCTATGAAGTCATAGGCAAGAAAGTTAACCCAGCTACAAGGTAGTACATTTTTTTTTTAATTTTTAGATGACCAGACACCAGCCAGGCTGGGATTTGTTCCTGGTGACAGTTTGCCCTTACATGTGGGTATGCTGCTTGATACTAGTTATTTCAGATGAGGGCATATAAGTGCATCATGCAATAATTAACTTACTACATTCTTTACATTCTTCTTTCCATATCAGTGCAAGAAGAGAGAAGGGAAATACTGCATTGGTTTTGGAAAAGCGGTAGGGTAAATTGTATTTGAGATTGGAAGAATAAGTTCACAGGGATATTGGTTTAATAAGGAAGTAGACAGCAAATAAGATACAGATAAAAAAAAAAAACAGCAAGGGATCATGGCAAAGGGTCAACTAAGGACAGAAGAGAATGCCAAACACCACAAACATTCAGGGTCTTTATAAAGTAGTCCAATCAAATGCTATTTTAAGTGATGTGAACACTATTGCTGAACAATATAAGTAGGACTTCAGTACCTTTCTCAGAGAAAATGCTTCTCCAGACATCAATTATGCTGGTCACATGACCAAACACCAAAGCATTTAATCATGTCAGTTCTGCTGAAGGATCAGCTAAACTGAAATTTGGTTGGGATTGTGCCATGACTAGTCTGGGAAGGAGCACAGAGCTGTATTATTTTTAGGAAAGGTAAATATTGCAAACCCTTGGCCACTTTCACACTGGTGCACTTTTGCCATGCTTTTCCAGGGGGACAAAAGCACATGAAAACTATTCCCCATTAAATCCTATGTAACTGTTCACACTGCAGGTGCGCGTTGAAGTTCTGCATGCCTCAACTTCAGTGCAGTTATTCAAAAGTGCACCAGAAAGACACAATCAAAAGCATATCAAAAGCACATCAGTCTGAAAGGCCTCTAAGCTCCACAAAAGCATATCAGTGTGAAAGGGCCCTTAAATTACAACTTACTAGCAAATCTATGCCTGTTTAAAAAAGGACACAAGCTTCATTAGAACTACAATTTCCATTGAAAAATACTAACCTTAAGCTTGTCAAACAGAAATCAATTTTGCACTGATCTGAAGGGTATATTTTTCTGCTTGCAGTAAAAGAATTGTTGGCAAAAATATTAGTTTGATATATACGCATGCTACAACTTCATAGAAAATAATTGAAAAAAAGAAAACCTGAATTTTTTTTAGTTTGATCTCGGAAAACTGATTGTATCCATTTTTTACAGATAAGATCAAATTGAAATGGTGGAAACCTTTGCTCACAGATAGCCACATTGAAAGGGTGCAGATCGGCAGGAAAAAAGGGCTGAGTGAAGAGAGTCCACAGTGAGTGGGAGGATGAGGATGACAGCAGAGGAAAAATCATAGGTCATGGCTGAATGGAGGGGCTAGCGGAGTGCTGTAAAAGAGCTCCCTGAAAACAGGAATCTGTCATAAGGCCCATATGTGGCGCTGAGCCTCCTTGAAGAATTGAAATCTAATAAAGGAAAGGGATGGGCCAAGAACAGTAAGGCTACATAGGAAAAGACTAGGTGATGCTGGATATTCTCCAGCCAGGAAATAAGCAGGCTCTATCTGACTTGCTGCAGCCTCTAATGCACTCTGAGAATCCTACAATGTACAGTGAAATCAGACTAAGCAATTTCAGTACCGGACTCTGTATAACTGTGCTAGACTTTTTGTATTGACCCACATTAAAAGGTATTCATGTACAGGTGCATCTCAATAAATTAGAATATCATCAAAAAGTTAATTTATTTCAGCAATTCCATTCAAAAAGTGAAACTCATATATTATATAGATTGATTACACATAGGGTGATATATTTCAAGCATTTCTTTCTTTTCATTTTGAGGCGTATGGCTTACAGCTAGTGAAAACACAAAATTCAGTATCTCAGAAAATTAGAATATTACATAAGGCCAATAAAAAAAAAAGGATTTCTAATACAGAAATGTTGGCTTACTGAAAAGTATGCCCATGTACAGTATAGTATACACTCAATACTTGGGGCTCCTTTTGCATGAATTACTGCATTAATGCGACCTGACATGGAGGTGATTAGCCTGTGCCACTGCTGAGGTGTTATTCAAGCCCAGGTTGCTTTGATAGCGGCCTTCAGCTTGTCTGCATTGTTCGGTCTCATGTCTCTCATCTTCCTCTTGACAATACCCCACAGATTCTCTATAGGGTTCAGGTCAAGCAAGTTTACTGGCCAATCAAGCACAATGATACCATGATCATTAAACCAGGTATTGGTACTTCTGGCAGTGTGGGCAGGTGCCAAGTCCTGCTGGAAAATGAAATCAGCATCTCCATAAAGCTGGTCAGCAGAGGGAAGCAAGAAGTGCTCTAGAATGTCCTGGTAAAAGGCTGCACTGACTTTGGACTTGATAAAACACAGTGTACCAACACCAGCAGATGACACGGCTCCCCAAATCATCATGGACTACACTCACAGCCTAGCCCAGGTAAGATGCTTCTGACGTTGTCTCTGGTTCAGGAGTGGTTTGACACAAGGAATGCGACAGTTGTAGCCCATCTCCTAGAGACATCTGTGTGAGGTGGCTCTTGAAGCACTGACACCAGCCGTAGTCCACTCCTTGTGAATCTCCCCCAAATTCTTAAATGGCCTTTGCTTCACAATCCTCTCAAGGCTTCAGTTATCCCTTTTGCTTTTCCACCTTTTACTACGACTTTTTCCTTTCACTCAACTTTCCATTAATATGCTTAGATACAGCACTCTGTGAACAGCCAGCTTCTTTAGCCTTTGTGACTTACCCTCCTTGTGGAGAGTGTCATTGACTGTCTTCTAGACAATTGTCAAGTCAGCAGTCTTCCCCATGATTGTGTACCCTACTAAACCAGACTGAGAGACCATTTAAAGGCTCAGGAAACCTTTACAGGTATTTTGACTTAATTAGCTGATTAGAGTGCCCCCAATCAGTGACACCATGAATCTACAATATTGAACTTTTTCACAATATTTCTAATTTTCTGAGATACTTAACTTTGGGTTTTCAATAGCTGTAAGACATAATCATCAAAATTAAAAAAAAAGAAATGCTTGAAATATATCACTCTGTGTAATGGATCTATATAATATTTTCACTTTCTGAATTGAATTACTGAAATAAATTAACTTTATGATGATATTCTAATTGAGATGCACCTGTATTATCCAGGTCTTCTCTCTTTCACTTGTTTCATCGCTTCCTCCTCCACCCCCTTATTTGTATTAGGACTTGTTCACACCTGTGCAGAAACCCACATTTTTCTGTACTGGCAAAATACCAATCTCCGCAAAGGGCACACAGAAAATTTTTTTTCCCTTTATGTCCTGGTCACTCGCAGCTCCATTGCTCCCTGCATTTTTACACACTGCAGCTGAGCTGCAGTGCATGGAAATTAATGAAATGTCACACTGTGACATTCCAATAAGGTTAATAACCACTTGCCCTCCAGAGAATTAATCTCCCTTCCTGACCAGGCCATTTTTTGCGATACGGCGCTGCGTTACCTTAACTGACAATTGCACGGTCATGCACGGTCATGTAATGCTGCACTCAAATGAAATTTATGTCCTTTTTCCCCACAAATAAAGCTTTCTTTCGTTGGTTGTATTTGATCGCCTCTGCGTTTTTTATTTTTTGTGCTATAAAAAATAAAAAGACCACCAGTTTTGAGAAAAACAATATTTTTGACTTTTTGCTATTAAACATGTCCAGTAAAAAAAATGTAA